GGTGCAATTAGTGTTTTGTACATGTTACGTCGCATCACTTGAGAGGCAGTGAGAGGTTTTAAACGAAAACATAACCTCTCTTAGAAGTTATGAATAGTGATTTTTAGTTGTCATAGGTAAATTATTGTACGCAACTCGCGAAAATAGTGTTAACGACACTCGTAGAAGTATTTAAGGCACGCGCCAATTAGAACATAATTTGTAATTAGAAACATAGGAAAAAGAACCCTTTAACATAGATGGTTTACTTAGCAAATAAGATGTAGGATTTGCGATACAAGATGCAGTCGTAACAACCCACTCTTACATATCACATCTGATCAAGCGAATACATTATCTCAGATTACACTGAGAACAAATTAATGCTGACAGGCTTAGTGTGGGATGGGCTGAGGTGGATTACAATTAGCTGGCATCGCGGGCCCTGTCAATCTCCTCAGTGATGGACACTAATATCTGTGCCGACCGGGTATCCCTGCATAGTACAGAATACATAAGTGGGTAGCTCTCCTCTCCTAGTATAATCAGAAGCTCACTGGTTCAATCCTTAAATAAACAGAATTTTATCTATAATATTAAAACGAAACTGGGTTTTTTTATTTCACGATTCTGAATCAACCACTTGACGGATTTTCATGATTTTTGTGTTGAAAGAAAGATAATTTTGAGAACTAGGGAATGTCGAAGCCATAATTTTAGTTTAGGGTCCCAGCTTTTTAGAAATTAAGTTTTAATTTTCAAAAAGTCTAGCAGCCGACGAACGAGTTAAAGTCGTTTTACTGTTGGTTTAACTAACAGCTGGTTTCTAACTGTCATTGAAATGTTTATGTCACAAGATGTTTGTATACAAAACTATTGATCCAGAGTTTGCCTACACACTATTTCACTTTAAAATGCAGTTTATTACCTACCGTAAAAGATCTATGTTATCAGGAGATTGTGTAATTTCGAACTTAACATTTTAAACGTATAATCAAGTTTTGTTATAAATGCAATCCGTCTAAGTATAAGTGCTCAATCCTTTAAGATATAAGTGGTTTACGTGTTGATGCATCTTTTTCTAGATTTTTGAATATAAGTATGACTGCATACAGTACACATGAAAATGTCAACCGGTGTAGTAGGTCTCCAGAAAACTGACCAGTAAGCTGCAGGGTGTCAGTAGAAACCAAAATCGATTCATACCATATCATAACTATCCCAGTAGTACTGATAGTAGTACTGATGATTCAGAAACTTGATAAAGGGGTACATTCCAAAAGTCTCAGATCTCGGATGGGCTGGGCAGGCTTTGCATGGCGGAGAGAAGATACTTCAACTTTAAAAAAAGTGTATTCCAAGGAGTACTACAAGGTAGAAGACCACTTGGAAGACCAAGTAATGAAAGACATCTTCAGACTGGTATCATTGACTATGAATCCCTGGTATCTTCCTTAGAAATGGCAAGGGATAGAAGAGAACGGGAGGCCAGGATCATTTTAGAGGTTTCAGTGGCCAAGGTAGATTCCCGTACGTAGGACGGGCCAAACCGCTCGTAAGAGTTTAAAACTAATTCAAGCTGAATTGATGGTTGGGATGGTAGTGTATGAAAAACAGCTGATCTAAGTCAGTCATAAATCTGTCATCTCGTTCTGTCAACACTCATCTTCGCCTTACGCGCCCTGGTGAGTCGTGAGTCGGCGTCAAAACTAATCTATTCATAATTAGAACTAACAACATATATGATTCAACATACTATATTGTAGCCTAATATAAAACATTAATGTATTTCCAGCATCATGATTCCATCAGTTTGATGTTCTTTTGGACGGTCCTATGCAACAGTTTAAAGTTCTTTCCTTACGGATCACATTACGGCCACCAGATCGATTCTAAGGACAGTAATAATACTTTTTTAACACTGTAGTTTTCAAAGCTGGACCTGACTGTCCCTGATGATTGGGCCAAATAGCCAGTAAATAATAGTTTTTATTTTATTTTTTATTTTAAACTTTGTATCCCTAACATTCTTTGGTTGACCTATTAACCTTTAACTGTTAATAATCAAATAACTGGCGAGAGTACCGGGTCGGAAATGTGTTTCTTTTGACTGACTCCAGGTATGTCTTAACAAGCGGCTGCGCCAAATGTGAGCCCGTGATTTAGGTGTGGCCTCGGACCCTTAATTGCAGCAAACTTTGGACATGTGTCGGACCTCAATTGACATAATTACAGGTCGTAATGTGTCGGACGTAATCAGGTTGATTTGTTATTGAATATTTGTGATGAATTGTGGTCCATTGTTATAATTGATTTGTGATTTATTTCATAAGTTGATTGGATTCAAACAGTGTTCCTGCAAGTGAAAAAATGTAGAGTGATTGTTATGAAATGAAAAATATCTTGGTTAAAGGAGAGATGTTATAGAAGGGAGAGTTCTCCGTTGGGGACTAGCCCGTTCTAACTTATTCTCTTAAATAAAGACATTTATCTCTTCATTATACTTTTTTTCAATAATTTATTCATTTAGAATGCTGCTTGCATGTAGGCCTAAAATATAATTGTGGATGTGCTGCTGGTCTAGTGAGTAGAGTAAAGTAGTGTGCAAGACTTTGATCTAGGATATACCTGGATTCAAATAATGTCAATCGCCATTGGATTTTAGCTTTGTGGTAGTATTACTCATTGGTTCATTGGTTCAGTATTATTACTCAAAAAGATACATCTCTAAGGTGAGGAGAACGTTCTATGTTTTGGAGAACACCCTCCACCGAACCTTGCTAAATGTGTTAACTTTGTGCTAGAATCAAGTTTGACTTATAAATATTTAATCAGCTGTAACTATTGATTGCCATTTTTTACAAATATTCAGTGGATGGGTTGAATACCTATTTCTCCCGTATCACAAAATATTCATGGATAATCATGATACTGTACCATCAATTAAACATACTCCCTTAGTAGATTTGCCATCCTTGTGGATCAGCTTAAGACATTTGTAATGGTAGTTCCATCCAGTTCTTAGGGTGTGTTTTTGTTTCCATTTTGTGTCATGTTATTTTATTTCTGTATTTAAAACCTTGTTTAACAGAATACAATAAGCTAATTATATTCATAAACAATAACTCATCCTCCGGTTATACTGTATAACAAAAAAGTTAAGCTTCAAAAGCTCAAAAAACAAACTTCAAATTTTAAGATGGAATAAGAAGTCTACTTCTTGTGTTGGTTAGTCTACGATACTGTACCGAGAAGATTGTTGTTAAAATAATAATTTAAAAAAATGAAACTAAATATAAAATAGCCTAGATGTAAATATGATTTAAGACAACAGATATCATCTTTGCAATCATGATTAAATCTAGTTCATTCTCTTTGAACTAATAAAAGAAAATTAATAATTTTTTTTAATCTTCCTCTATGAATTCATCTGCTATTTTGTATTACTTCATTTTAACTCCAAGCACAAATTTACATTAAGCACTGTGACGATAAAAATTAAATATCAATGAGACAACTTTGTTGTCAATAGTTTTTAAAATAATTAAAAAGCTTGTTTTATTTTCCATCAAAAAATAATTCTCCTTAAAGTGAAAAAAAATTTGAATGCAAAATAATTTGTAACTTGGTTTCATCTGGCAGTATGATATTTGAGTTTTTTAGTTAGAAGATCAAATTGAAAATAAATTTTGATTGAAAATATAGTATGTTGCTCTCTCTACTTTCTGTGCTATAGTGGCGTCAGTAAGAAAAATCTGAATCACCAATTACGATGACAACATTTCATTCATCATCAAAACAGCAAGTGTATGATGACTTATCAAAATGTAATCATGTAGTATTGACCTTGCTTAGGTCTGCACTACACGAGGTTATTACAGGACAGCCTGTGTCTACTAGCAGGATCTTATTTCTAGTAAAACTTCCAAATGCAGTGTACAATTTTGTTTATTATATTTCTCGCATCAAATAAGTTTTGTAGCTTGACAATGTATGTTAGTATGTAGGTAGGGCCTAGTACGTATATGTAAATTACTTTTTTCAAACGAATAGGAATTATGGATTTACAGATACTCTTGAGCTTTAAAATAATCAATCCCTTGGAGGCGATAAATTAATTTTAATTTTCAAGAAATAGTGTCAATTGCTAACAGTCCTTATCCATTTCCCAAATTTTCAAAATAAGTTAGTTCATGTAATAATAGTTGGACACTTTGCTGCAAACAGCAAACAATTGCCCTCACGGGCTCAATCTAATATTTTAATATTATTGTATATTTACTGTTCGTTTAACATTTTTACTTAATATATTTATAACAATCGCCTAAATTTGATATATCACATGAGGATCAAAAGCAAAAATTAAATAAACAAAACTAGATTTTGTAAAACACCTTGAAGCTGGTTATTAAATCATTATAAACAAAATCTAGTTTGAATTAATGTAGAATGCTTGGATTTAATTACAAATGGATTTTAGAAACAACAAAGAAAAGGAAATCTATATAATTAATACTACAACACAAAATTTTTCTTTTGAACTACTCCGCCATGTCTTAACCGATTTTGACCATTCGCGTCTCATTGGAAAGAGCATGTCCCGTAGATTTGCATACTGGCCTTATTTGTGAAAAAGTCCCTTGAGCTCTGCCCGAGTGGCTTTTAAATTCCCATGTTATTCTTATGAAGAACAATTTGTTTACATCATGATCAGCTGGGTAATTTAATTGGATAGTTTAATTGGTATTCGTTTTTAAATAACTCCTGTAATACTTTGCAATAGCTCGAATTCAAACAACATACACTAGTAAAAGATGATTTCCTGTTGAAAATACTCTATTTTTACTTCTTATGCAAATACTCTACAGTGTGAACAAAGTACTTCCTTAACATCTGCATTTTCACATCTCCAATAGTTCCAGCCTCAAGCTTTTCACACAGCTGTTTCAAAGTCAAACTCATTTTCCCAGTGTTTTCAAGTGTTTCAATTGCATGACTGACCTGAGCTATCTATGTTACAGCCAGGCTACTACAGAGACGCTCCTCAGTTTAGACAAGTGGGCGACGGCTCCCAGTACAGCCTAGAGATCCCACAAGTGAAACTCGACTTCACCGGAACCTACTGTGTGATCGCCCGAAATACTCATGGCGAGACCAAGGCGATAATATCACTCCAGATATATGCCAAAGGTGATCAATCTGTTATTTCACTCCATTTCTAGTTAGTTTTCAGAGGAAGCACTCATCAAGTATCAATGGTTCAAGTTGATGACTCCCAAAAGATTGCAATACAATTTTTTTCTCCCCTACAAAAGATGTTCATTCAGAGTGGTTGTTTTTAGGAGGAAGTAGTAGAATCTCTGTTCTTTTACTACTTCCTTTTAAGAAGACTCATTGTAATAGTGAATTGTAAAATTGTTTGTGTGTTTAACTTTTGTGTGCTATCAACTGCCTGGAATCTTAGGGTTAGTAGTTGTGTATCCCATTCCTTCTTCAATGACCAGTCCAGTGCTTTAATTGTGTTAAGAATATATCCAAGAACCTAGGGATATTTGTAACTTTGTATTACTATACTTTTTATTGTTTATTATTTTCATACTTAAGGATAAAACTTAGTGTAAAATTTTTAAACTCTATTCATAAAAAAAGTTGTTTTCATGTTGATGAATTAAGAAAGCTCAACAGACCAACTGAGTTTTGAGTCTTCTCCGCCATGCAACCTGGGTCGGTCTGCTCCTTGTAGTTTAGTTGGCCTTGTGTTTAAACATAATTTTTTATATGTTTTATTTGTCTTGTCATGTCAGTATGTGTGTGTTAACAAAAAGTCAGTGATACAAATAACTCTCAATTTGATGTCGGATTTGACAATGAGTTACTCAACTCAAAATTATAGTAATCCACTAGATAAGAGACTGAAGACAGACAGTGTACGTCAATTCTTTTATTTTTAAATTTATCAGTCATAGTGGAAATAATGTTAAAATTTAATTTTACATCTAATTTTTGTGGTAATGACATTGTTAAACCAACGTACGGAGATATTTGATATAATCTTTTATAAGAGTCCTGCTTATAAAAGGGGACTGAGCACAACTGTATTTAGTATAGGATAATTAACAATACTTAAAAATTATATCATTAGATAATTATTTTTAAAGAAATGCACACCTTCTTTATGTTCCTGCCTGAATTTTGTCAGCTTTCAGCTATTCACTGGAACAAACCACTTGGTTCACTCATCATTTATAATCAGGCTACATTTCCTAACCCATGCCAAAGAGATAATTGTAATGACAATTTATAATTGGATAATTTTACTTTAAACACAACCTACTGGTAAATATGTAACGAGATAGTTGTCCCCCTATCAGTCATGGAGCACTAAACTGCTTTCTAGAGCAGGTTGGGCGGTAAAAACTAGCCTCTACTAACAAAAACAATGTCCAGTGAGATGTTATGATTATACCAATATCGGATCTGGTTCTTATGTAATTAAAAACTCTGAGCTTGTTAGGGGTAATTTATAATATTGTTGCCGATTAGTAGCCAATAATTGAAGCTATTCACAATGTCTCGTATGTTTACAGGCCAAGGAAAAGAATCGTCCATGGTATCTGGACATGTAAAACATGGGTAAGTGTCTTCTCTTGTTTATAATTTGGTATTGGTGTACTCACTGATATAATCAATAGAAATGATTTCTGAAAACTGGGAAAAAATGTTTACAAAAAAAGCAGCATTCATTATTTATTTAACTATTTGAGTTGTTGATTTGAAATCGTGGGTAGAAGCTAGTAATTTATATACTAGTTAGGTGTTAAATTTGAAAATGAACCTTTACGTTAATTCGAAAAGAGTGTAAGAAATAGATGCTTGAGTGTGTGTCTTTGATCATTGGGCTTTTTATAAAGAGAACAATTGATCTTAGTAAATAATAAAACTACACAGATCATCTTACTCCATTTTATACATACTTTGGATTCATATAGCGTGAAATTCATACGTAGGCGATGTTTCTTTCTCAAAAATATAATGATATTGGCAATGGCAGTTTGTAAAACTATTACACCGCTAACTTATGAATGCACCAATGTACACCACTTGGCAGTCTTGTTGCACAGTTTATAGTGCTGCAGTAGTTTGATATTTAAAAAATGCAGGCTAGTGTTGAATGTTTTTTACTGTAATAGCTGTTTAAGTACGTAAGTGGTGCTCAAAATGTCTCTTTAATACATATTAAGTTCTTTATTTAAATTAAGTTTATTTGATTTAACCCTGACTTTTATTGAATCGGTTACCTTGGGCCCATTTAGTTGGCATTAATAAGTGTTTACTTTTTTAATAGGTTGTAATGGTAAATTTTAGTAGCTTCTTCGGTTGTATGTCCACCAGGGATGGAAAATGGTTAAATATACTTCATTCTGCAGATTCTGCTATTCATCCCAGATGACTTGCATGTGGAAACTGCACCACACCTTCTGAACTTTTCGAATTACCAGTTATTATTAGGATTGTAAATTTAATAAAAAGAAAAATTGTGGTTCACGCCTTAAGTGATGCAAAACAGGGCAATTACAAGCAAATAATAGTTAACAAGCAGTAATTTGCCACAATTCCTTGGCAATCAGGAACTGCTGGGCGGAGCAGTTGTGCCTTGGCAGGTTAAAACACCATTAATAATGCATGCATATGAATCAAGTGTTGAACAGGCCTGATAGAGCTGGGTCTTATTTATGGGCTGCAGATTGATGGGCAGCACTAGAGATGACCTGCATCTCTTACATACTGAAATATTACATTTTGAGTAATCATTACAGAGGCACAAGGTTTAGTTTTGTTTGGAACATAATCTTTTGGAGATGTATATGTATGTTTAGCTTATTTCGTTGAATTCATTTTTAAGTATAGTTTTCATACAACACTGACAACATGTAACTTTTTTAACAATCTTTAAAACTTTTTTTAAAATATAGATTTTTAATTTGGAAATTTATACAAATTGTAAGGCAAAAGAATTTATACAAATTAAGCACCCGAAATATTCTAATGATAAAATCACTTGAATTGAAACATGATACAATGGTTTCCATTACCTTAATTAATTTCTTATTTATATCCTCTTTATTTAAAATTAGTTTTCCAATTTTAACACTTTGGCAGCCTCTTTTAAAGCTTGCATTTGCTTGTTCATGTTTTTTTTTCTATGAAAGTGTCAAGAAAAAGCAAGGTGTAATCCGACACAAAAGTAAAAACTGTTCTGATCAAATTTTATTGGCATCACTGGGACATGAACTTAAGACACTGCCATCGTTTCACAATCCGTCTTGCTACTGAATGAGCAACTAACTTAGCAAAAAACACCAACTCACAAACAGACAACAATTATTGTTTTTGTTGTTAACATTAACTTTGACTCTTCTATTGATACCGTACACTTTTATTTGACTATTACTATTTTATTTGACTATTTGACTATTACACTTTTATTTGAAATTTAATTCTTTTCTTTTTATCCATCGATATCTTTAGGTAAAAAAAAAATCATTGTATGAATGTCACACACTTACAGTGATTGATTCTTTTGGTCTGTGTGTTTTAGTCAGGTGGAGACTCTGCCGGAAATCAAGCGTGAGTTGAAGGACCTCCGTTGTTGTGACGGAGACGCTGTCACTTTGGAGTGTCTGGTGTCGGCCACACCACTGCCGTCCGTGCGCTGGGAGAAAGACGGCAAGGTGGGTACACTAGGGTCTGAGATTATTGAAATCATTGCCTGTTGATGTGAAAAAGTATGTGACCACACGAAAGACATATGATAAAGGTATTTTTTTAGGCAGTTAGTTTCCTTTGAAGTTTTGTACTGCAATGAGAATTCGAAGACATAAACTTTTAAAAATTCTAAGAGGAAGGGAAAAGTTGATGGTAAACTTATGAGGAGGGTATTAAAGAGTGTGCAGAGATAAATGTGCTGGACTCTAGGGAGGATATACAATTGAAGACTCCCAGATCCTGCAACATACCCAAAAAATGGACGCTAGACTTAAAATAGTTATTATCCTTCCTTCATTCTCGCTCTCTGCAATATAGAAAAGATCAAAGATAAAGATTTTATAGACTGTGGAATCTTGATTTTCGGGAGATGACCGTGTCGTTGAACTGTTGACAATACTGGCCTAGGTATTATATTTGATACACTAATCCATCTTTAGGGCAACCTACAACTCTGGTTGTGATGAGCATGTATTTTTATCAGTTCAATGATGATTTTTGTCTTCATCTCCTGAAGACCAAGTTTGACCGGGGGCTTTTACCTTGACCTTCTGCATATTACTCTGTTGGACGCTGGGTCCCTCTCTCTTGACAACTTCCTTCTTAGTCTTGCCATTCGTCTTAAAACTATTCTATCGATGTCCTACTCTTTAATAAATCCTAGGCCCTCTAACACTTCTTTTATTTTAGGGTTCTATTCCAAAGGCTTCCTTGGCTGTGACATTTTGTCTCCATTAAAGAACGTTATTTTATAATTGGCAAACACTGGTAATATTTAAGCTCTGTTGCTTTTTTGATATCTATTAGTTTTGGCAGGGTAAAATATTTTACTGAATCATTTGATTCAATTACTTTTACATGATTTTGTGGTAAATAAGATAATTTTGATTGATAGTTTATAGCTAGGCTAGGAGGTTTTAAGTCTCGCCTTATAATCAAAAGGTCTACCAGTTTTTTCCTATCCTGAGAACAAAATTGTATGTTTTTGACGGCTTGAAGCTTTTGATTATTAGCCTTCTAATAAATGGTCCTAAACAGTGGTCCTGGAGGATTTTATTGAGTAACAATAAAAGCGCACATGGAGTTTCACAACTCACCCATTCACTTATACTTCATTTATATGCAGGGTAAAAAATTTTTGTCTCCATATCTTTTCAGTTGATACAAATGAAAAATATTAGAAAAAAAACACATCTGATGAAACATGAAAAAAACAAAATAAAAATGCATTTATTCATTAGATTTTTGGAAAAATGTTATAAAATATAAAATTGCCATTAGAATTAGGTAGGAAGTTTTTTTATTGAATTTTAGAATTAAGTTCATAATGTTAATAACTTTTAAACAGTTGTCAGGAATGTAAATAATAGTTTAGTAATTTACAACTTAGTAGTAACGTTTCTATCATTAGATTAACATTGTAACATCTGTTGTACAACTGTACAAGTACACAAAGGTGTTTGTGTTATGATGTAATGCTTACATTGTTTAGCTCTAGAAAAGTTTCAAAAAGTGTTGCTGTTTCCAGATTCTACCTCTAGGAGAAGACATTGAGGCTGAGTTAGACGGAGAAGTCGCTAGGCTCATTATAAAGAAGGTAATCAATCATAATATTTTGTAATTCAATATTTAGGGATGTATACAACTGCTCAGCCGGCCATAACATGCACGGTAACAGACTTGATCCAACTCTAGTAAAACTGTATCACAAATTTCAGATTATTTCTTTGTTACTGACAGCATAACCAATGAAGGGTTTGAAAACTTGGAACCTTCCTTGGTTAATACTTTGACTGCTACTAAAATATAAAATACCTTCAGGAAGACCTGAAGTATTTTGCTTTGAAATTTATATTGAATATCAATGCAGAATACTTGTTCGGTAAAAAAATACATATAAACATAAACTTAGCAGGAAGTGATGTTATCGAATCATGGGACATCGGTTACCCATAACTATTGATGAAGTTTTCACAATGAGGGATGCCGGTGTTCCATGATACAGTTAAAAGTTTATAAATGTAGCAATAAGTTTTTTGTTTCTTTTGGCGAGATATATTCTTTCACATTCAGTTAAGCTTGTTATTCTAACAAATATCCTTTAAAGTTTGTCAATCTGTTACAGGTTTACCCTGAAGATGAGGGCCAGTACAGCTGTGTCGCTTATAACGACCTAGGACGAGCTGTTACAACCGCTTGTCTTGTGGTTGATGGTGAGTCACAATGTTAAGTGTTTCATGTTTGGTTAAAAGTTAAAAATTTTCCATTTTAAACTAAGTCAGTAAGTAGAAATGTCACTACTTTCTTCTTTGGTGTATAACATAATCTTGGAACCTGGTACAACCTAACCAATTGCCAATTGTTTATATTTTTCCTGAGTGGTTGGTTTATAATGGAGTGTTTTAGAACCACATATCTTGAATAAAAAATTGATATATTTCTCAGGTAAAGAACATTCTCCATACTAAAAAACTCTCTCTAATTTAAGTTTAATGTTTTCAATATTTTAAATATTGTCTACAACTAATGTTTATTTTATTCCAAAGTGTTTACCTTAGTAAAGACTCTTTTAACTCCATGGATCATTTAGTGATTTAAGTATGCCTATTTATTTTTATAATATTTTCTGTCGCCTTATGAATTCAAAATAAAAATTTATTTGTCAAGTTGTGAACACACACACAATAAGGATGAAATAAAAGATGTTTGATTTGACATGTAACTCACAAAGGATTCCCCCATCCTGTTGACTGTGCAATGGTTTTTTAAATAGACTTTTCCCCTCTAGCTGTGCCCCACACATGTCAATTCACAATCCACGGTGTTGTCTTTATACAGGAGAGACACTGCCTTAGAAACCTTGGTCATTGATCAGATGCAATGGACTACCACACTGAAAACAATCAACCTAAAGCAATAGGATTTTCCAAGTAGTTCTCAGGTTGCTACATACGTCAAGTATAATGGCTTTCAACTGTTATACTCACACGGATACTTTTAAATGCAGGTTATGATACCCTTGCATCCGATATATCAGCATTTAGAGTTAAATGGTTGTTTTGTTACATAATGACTGACAATCACTGTTTTCTCTAGTTCCTGAAGAGAAAGAGACACTACTGAGTCAGCAGCTGACACGTCCTCCGGGGTTGTTGTCTGCCAGGTCGACACCCCGCTCCACCCCACGCAACACTCCCTCCCCCGCCAGGAGTCTCTCACCTACCCCTGCCAGTGAGTACCAATAGAAAGTAGCTATAGGTAAATTGTTAGCTTTCTGAAATCCATTGACTATTGTTTACTGGAGTATACATCACATCCGTTTGGACAGGCTGTAGTTTTTATTCAAATAGAACATAGTTGACCTCTCATAGGGTGTGTTACTGCAAAAGTCTATATTTTAACCCTTAGTTTTATGGACCTTCTTTTATGTCACATCCAACTATTTAAGTGTATAGAAGGTATAGTTTTTATTAAGTTGGAAAATATTTTCCACTGACCTAAAAATTCTTTTGAGTGTTATCTTAAATTTGGTGAACTTTAAAGCTCTCATTTGAGGCTGAAAGTTTATTTTTATTTACTTGAAAAAAAACCACCTTCTCTTTTTTAAACTTTGATTCTGATTTAAAATGTTAATGTATTGAAGGATACCGAGAGTTTTCTTCGCCGTCCTTCTCCAGACCCAAGCGAGTGAAGATGTCATCGCCCAAGTTCTACACAGTGCCTCACAACCGCATTGCTGAGGAAGGAGAGACAGTTAGGTTCCAGTGTTCTGTGGCGGGTCACCCCACTCCTTGGGCCAGTTGGGATAAGGTAACACATTACACACTCTCAGGAATAAAATTTGGAATGATTGGTTTTTCTTCTACACAACGTACCAGGAATTTCCTAAAAATAAACTTGTAAATAAATATTTATTTTAAAAATTATGACAGATAATTTTTAGACAGATAGTGTGTCTTTTTAAGTGGTATGGACCAAAGCAAATCTAAATTTATGTATTGAATCTGTTCTCAATCTTTAGAAAAACAATTGCTCAATCTTTTGACAAATAAACTAACTTGTCCATATCTTGGTGTATAAACGTTAAATATACATTGCATGTTGGATGTTACACACATCAATGATTCGTATGTGCTTAGGATGGCCACATAGTGACCCCGTCGTCGCGTCTAAGCGTGACAGAACGTGATGACTTGCGGACGCTGGAGCTGAGGGAAGTTACGGTGGAAGACGCAGGGCTCTATAGAGTGACACTGGAGAACGAGATGGGCAGCATCGAGGCGACCGCTCGACTAGATATAATTGGTAAGTCAACCAGCAGGTTGTGGTTATTGGATAGACAGATAGTGTAATTGTTGGTTGGTTCTTTTTATTTTTGGCTGACAATCCCTTTTTCTGTTTATGTCAGTAATAAAAAAAACATGGTTTTATAGGCCCTATGTTTCTTTTTGTTTGATGACGGATTGTTTACAATGCTCAGGGTACCGGGAACCAAATTAAAATATTCATATATATTTTAATTTTTCTTCTAAAAAATCTGTGTTTATTTTGATTTCAGTTCTTATTTGAGTATTTTGATAAAAGTTCTATTGTATCAGTTTAATAATTGTGTCCAGCTCTGAAGTAGTTTGGCTATCTCTATATGATGTATCTTTGACTATTCATAGACTATAAGTAGACATCTCATTCTTATGTTTTAATTGTAGCCAATTTTAGAGTGAATATATATGTTTGAATTGAGCTGTCAACAATGTGCTGATCTAAATTACTAATTTGATTTCGTTCCTTTATCCTGTATAAATCTAGAAACAAAAAGAGGTACATAATGCATACAAAATATGTCACATCAAATATCTAAATAGCAACAACTGAGATAAAGTAGGATTTTGACGATAGCATACTCTGTTTGGCTCATTCATCTATGTTCTATATGTAATCGGTCACATCTTGCCCATAAATAGATGGGTGTAAGAGTCAATGGCTAAATATGATTAATGTTCCAATGTTCCTCCAAGGTAATGATGTTTACTCATTTGACAGGTCGCCAAGGGTCACGTACCAGGTCAGTACGAGCTTGGAGTGCTGTCAGGTCGTCGCCGACGTTTGGTCGTCGTCTGGTCGGCTCAGCTGCCAGGGTGGGAGGTACCTTCACACTCAACTGCGACGTTCATGCTTCCCCCTCCCCTGTAACTTCGTGGTACAGGTTAGTATCTTTTAAGACTTAGAAGCCCAACCAATTTGAGGAGGGGACATTGTTGACATTTTTCTCTTATTCAGATGTATTCCATTTTGTCTCGCCAACAATTTGCCTCAATCTTTCCTCTGCCAAGTCTAAATTTGATCCTTCCTTCGATAGGGGAAACCCGTCAAAATCGATGGTTCCTCTTGAGGTTTTACGCAAATTCAGCTAACTACTATACAAAATATGGGGTTTTGAGTAGGTGCAGGCCACATTTAAAGGCGTGAGCACAGTTCCTTGAAGTGAGATGTTCAATTTTATCTAATTGCTTGATCTAAAACAAATTATAGTAAGAAATAGTATAAAACAAAAACATATATCTTAACAGTCTTCTTATCAATAAGTAATACAGCCAGGATAGAAAAATACATCTGAACGGAACTGTACGTTCTGATATTTGCATTGTATGCAACAAATTCCTGAATTTTGGAATTTAGTTGATGAACAGGTGATGTGTTAAAAAACATAATTATTTTCAATAAAAATTTACGGCTCTCTAATGAAACAGGTCTTACAATTGGCGTGGATGTACAAAATATAGTAAGTAGTTTTTCATAGGCTATTGAGAATTAAATAATTTAGTGAATACAGTGTCAGATTTAATTAAACTTGCAAGCTACCTTCCATCTTGGATTAATTTCAAATAGCTGCTGAAGACTTATCTATCATCCAAAATATTTTTTAATACGTTCACTACCGCAATGTACTAAATTTTTCATTCATATGGACCAGTAACGCACATATGCGATGGCCAGTTTCCACCCATACTGCCATCGCATTTATGCTACGGCTGGTCACATTAAAATAGACTGACGTTGCATAATTTTGTCGGTGTAACAATGTTATTACAGCTTATATCTTCGTAACGGTATATTTGAAGGCCCTGAACTCTCTGCAGTGGTCTACAGGGATGTCTATTGCACATGTGTGTCACTTGGTCTGTGGATATGATGAATAGTGACGTCATATGATAGTTGGCAAAACTGTTTTTTACTTTGCTCTTTGCAGCATCACTGGCCCATAGTCTACATGTACTGTTAACCAAGTGACACCCATTCTATGTGTAATATTACAATGTATATATCGGTTCTTTCGTGGCAATGACTGCAGCGTCGCATATATGTAGCTATCAGTAGCGAACAAGTTAAAAACCAAAGTAATTGTAATTTAAATGTCTAGCGCCCTGTGGGATCAGAAATTTTTTTTTTAGTTTTGTAGTTGTTTTCCATGGGAGTTGTTGGAGGCTAACGGCCATCTTGGATTTTTCTGCCATAAGAGCAATGTTAATTTCAAACAGCCGCTGAAGGGTTGTTTACCATCTCAAAATATTTTTTCAAATACCAGGGTTATTTTAATTTAAATTTCTAGGGCACAATGAGATTATACATTTTCTTTGTAGTTTTGTAATTGTTTAATGAGTTAGCACCGCTGGGCTCCAAGGATTCTTAAAACGAAAGTTAAATTTTACTTCAGCTGTGTGTGTTATTTTTATGCTACAATGTAGTATCGATGCAAACTTAAAGAAAACTGTTTAAATTTTGACTGTAGTTAAAATTTTTCAATCAATTTCGCTTTTATACATACCAAGTTTTGATTAAGTAGTTTAAGTTAATTTGTTGACCATCATTTATTCATGTTATCCTGTTGGTACCGGTATATAAAATAATAAAATGATGGGAAAACTAGAAAGAAAGGGTCAGTATTTTCATGGATTAAAACAGTATTTTCATCCTTATGGAGCAGCGAAACATTTAGGGTTAGTTTTGTGTATTCATGTAGAGGGTATTTTGTTGTGTACTTTTTGTTTCTTCTTAATTGGTCTAATCATATACAACATTTGTCTTCTGGTTTCATAATCAACCAGTGAAAACCAGCTTAAATTGTAAAATCTATCCTTAAATAATAAACATCAGTGCACTCAAAGTTCACCCATGTAACACATATTTACTATGTTTTAAGATGTTTTAATATGATGAGATGTCTATTTGCACCATTCAAAGTCTATGATTACTCAGCCAATTGACATATTTACATTGTTCTACTCTCCCAGGAACGGAGAGATGTTGGTCAAGTCCTCCCGTGTCATACCTACCTGGGATGGACGGAGAGCCAAGCTGGAACTGCATAGTTTGCAGCCTGAAGACGCAGGTATGTTGATGCTTATGGTATGTTTAAGCTAGGTATTAGAGACTATCTCTACTATGAAAGATAACTTTCTCTGTATCATAGAACTCTTTCTACCAAAAGCTATACGTACAATAATTGACTAAATGCACATTTTATTTTTACTTATTTTTTCTAGCGTTTCTAAATGATTCTGCAATGATGATTGTGTGATTGTATAATGGAATTGGAATACTGTTCTTTTTTGTATTAACACGTTTGCTGCGGCCCACCAAATGGCGGGCGTAGCCCCGATGCGGCGCAGCGTTGAGCGGATCCGTTTGGCTTTCAAATATTTCGGTCTGACGAATAGCAAATGACGTACAGTGATGTTCTGCGTTACAACAAAAGTCGACGTAGTTTGCTAAAACACCCACAGATAGCAGCACTGTCTGCAACCAGCCGGTCCCATTGTATTTGCCAATAGGAGGGAGAAAAAACAGGACAACAAGTTGATTTCTAAGCTTAACAGAAGGGGATTTTATGGGGGAATTTACTATCAACTTACACCACAGTAAAGTACCCATTCCTAGCTAAACACAAACATAAAAATACCCGTTCTTCCTGGTGTGCTGCTGCTCAGAAATTGAATGGAATGTAGGCGATGCCGGCACTCACCGGTGAGTGGCCCGCAGCGAGCGTTTAATAACATTTATCCTCCGTTGGATATTTCAAATTATTCATTCATTGAAAAGTATTTTTTAAATTCTTCATTTAAAATCATATTAGGGTTGTTGAAAAAGAATAATTTTATTATATTATTTTATTATTTATTTATTTTATTAAATTTGTATGAACGCAAATCAATCCTCAACAACAAAATTTGTAGTTAAGATATTAATTTGAATAATATCTCCAGACACAGCCATTGTTCATTCTCAAAACACATATTTAAAGCATTTTCCTTCTTTGATAATAACGATCAAATTTCCAAAAATCTACTATTTTCCTTCTCTCTGAATTAATTGTAAGCTTTCACCTACAGTCTCTTTTAAAAATATCTTCACGCCACGCTATACTATTTTGAGTCAAGGATGTAGTCCAGAAAACAGCTGTTTGCCACCAGGTTAATCAAATGGGTTTTCATTACGTTCTACTGTACTGTAATGAGTTTTACCAGACACCAATCAACTGATTAGTGATTAACTGATTATACTGTATTTGGGTGGCAATGAGTGGTTACCACCTTACCTCCTTGGCCACTCAAACCTAAGAAGGTTAAGAAGGCAATGAGTGGTTGTAAAAAAAAAAAACCTCTCTTAGAGGTTATGACTAGTGATATTTACATTTAGTCCTTTAGTTTGATTTTTAGTCCTTTAGTTGGTGGTAATATAAAAGGATTTGTAAAAGAAACATTTAGTAGTATGGCGTAAACTATCGTACGTCTCTTGTCCGGTAACTACTTATTTTCAGAACTAGTAACGTAATATACTATTTTAGGACTGTCTTATTGTTGCATTACGAACATTTTGCAGTTTTATTGTCACACACTTCATCCTGCTCCTATTTTCATTGTGTGGTGTTGCAGGAGTGTACACGTGTGTGGCAGAGAACGCTGTCGGCACAACTCAGTGTTCTGCAGAGCTTAGAGTACTGCAGACGTCAGACCCTAGTGATGCAGATCTGCAGCCTCCAGTGTTCCTGCAGGGTCTGCCTCCAGAACAGACAGCAGCTGAGGGACAGCCCTTTGAGCTGCAAGTGCGACTTCAAGGTGAGCTGGCAGAAAACATACAAACTTGTAGTGTAACAAACGTGAATGGCAAACTCAGATGGAAGCAACCTATCTGGATGCACACAGGAGAGAGAAATTATAAAGTATCCAAAGACAAGAAAATTTTAAAAGTCAATGAAAGTGAAAGTTGATGCACAGGATTGTAAGAAGACGATACAGTTAGTTTGTGAGGAATAACTTCTTTCTCTAAATGCTCAGGGTAATAAGAGTAAGAGTAAAGGATGACAAACCAACTTGTTAACAGCCATACAACATTCTATAATAAGTTTGGAATATAATTTTAAAGAAGAAATAAAACAAACTCCGATATTTACAATCAAAATCAAAAGCAAGCAGTAACAATTGGTGCAATGGAGGAAAAATCTTCTAAAAACTTGTGGCTGGGTAATTCAGCTTCTAGACTAGAGAAGATTAGGATTACAGGAAAATGTGACTATGAGGCCAAAGGAAATAAAAAAAATATTAAACCTTTATGATTTTCCAAGAGCTTAAGGTTGGTGGACTGAGTCAAGTGGTGATACAGAAAAACAAATTAAATACAATTTTAAAGTACCTAAGGATGTACCCCAAACCCTCACTTTGGAAAAAAGAAACAGCCACAGCTACTAAGATGTTCTAAGAGATTTCAACCTCAGATGCTTCAATGAGTTGGTTGATCCACTTTAGGATAACAGGGCTCTACTGTATATATGTTGTATATTGTATAATAGTGTATTTCCTCCAAAAATATGATCTTGTGTTCCTGTAACATGTTTGTTCTCCCCCCTGGCAGGTAGCAGCCCCCTGGAGGTGGTCTGGGTGAAGGACGGTGTGGAGGTGCCAGATTGTCCTGACCTACGCCATGTCGACTACGGAGATGGCAGGTTCGGTCTCCGCATCGCCGATGTGTTTGTGGCCGACGGAGGGATATACAACTGTGAGGCTTTCAACAATCACGGAGACGCCATTACCTCGGGTCACCTCATAGTCAATGGTACGGTTGGTGTATTTGCTTTTAGAATGTATCTAGATTATTGTATTAAATACCCCCGCCGCAGCAAACCTGCCGACTAAGCGAATTTCCATTTGTCTGAATTGATTTTCAGTTAAATATATTTTAATAACATTAGGTTTAACGAGTACCTAGGTTTGCTGCTACAAGGAAACTAATAAAGTGTGTTTTTGAGTAAAATATTGATAGCTTAGTACAAAATAAATAAATTTGCCAAGTTTGATCAAAATATATCCATAAACAAGCAAACTACAACATTTGACAATATTCTCCATAAGGTTAACATGGGAATTTTAAATTTACAATTTTTTTAATTTTCTCCGTTACTAATAATCGAACAAAAATACTTTTATATACTAAATTATTAGTTTTTTTAAGCTCTTTAAAAAGGTCTAAAGAGAAATCGGGAAATTTTGTGTTTTGAGGGTCAAAAGTGAGAAAACCCAATTTTTACCCCATAAAACCCCCCGTAAAGCCCCGTTCCCATGGTCCGATCGTGCTGGTTCGCGAACTCATTCAAGTTTATTCCGCTTTACACCTTTAAACCAAATTTCATCAAAATCGGACAAAAATTACTCAAGTTATCGCGTTCACGGACGTATATATATATATATATATATACAGGGTGTTTTTTTTTAAACTTGCATCTATATTTATGTAAAAACCGCAATAGATAGAAAGATGCAGTTTGCGGGAATCATCTATTGACGTAGGGGGACCAATTGTTTTGAATTCAACGTTACATTCACATTCCCCCCCTTTCCCCCCCTGCCCCCAACTTAATTTTTTAAAATAGCAAGGTACCCCTTGTGACATATCAAATAAAAGAGCATGAAAAAAGAAAATGTTTGATGAAAAAAAATTGAAAATCGGTTCATAAATTTGTGAGATATTCCCCCCCTCACCCCCCTTGAACTTAATTTTTTTTTAATAGCAAAGTACCCCTTGTGACATATCAAATGAAAGAGCATGAAAAAAGAAAAATTTTGGCGAAATTTATTTTTCATTTGATATGTCACAAGGGCGGGTACCTTGCTATTAAAAAACAAGTTATGGGTAGGGGAAAGGGGGTGATTATCTCACAAATTCATGAGCCGATTTTAAATTTTTTTTCACCAAAAATTTTCTTTTTTCATGCTCTTTCATTTGATATGTCACAAGGGGTACTTTGCTATTAAAAAAAAATTAAGTTCCGGGGGGGTGAGGGGGGGAATATCTCACAAATTTATGAACCGATTTTCAATTTTTTTTCATCAAACATTTTCTTTTTTTATGCTCTTTTATTTGATATGTCACAAGGGGTACCTTGCTATTTAAAAAAAATAAGTTGGGGGCAGGGGGGGAAAGGGGGGGAATGTGAATGTAACGTTGAATTCAAAACAATTGGTCCCCCTACGTCAATAGATGATTCCCGCAAACCGCATATTTCTATCTATTGCGGTTTTTACAAAAATAAAGATGCAAGTTTTTAAAAAAACACCCTGTATATATATATATATAAGTCTATATATATCTAATATATAAAATTCTCGTGTCACAGTGTTTGTCTGCAAACTCCTCCGGAACGACTTCACCGATCGTTATGAAATTTGGTGTGTAAATTCTGTAGGTATGCGAATCGGACGTAAACTATTTCCCGTTTCGAAATTCTTAAAAGGGCTCCGCCCCAGTGGCTCTGGAGTTTGCCATGTTAACCTTATGAGAAATGGAATTAATGAATCTTAACAGCTGTTTCAATTAAACAAGTTGGTTCTGTTCTATGATGTTCAATAGCATTAAAGTTACAAGGATTACCAACAGGGTGCAGCACTATTATTTCTTTTACATTTATGACAACAGCTAATTTGCAACCAAAAGGTGAGTGAGCATAGCGAACGAACTTCAACCTGGAGGCGAGTGAGCGTAGCGAACGAGCTAACCTGGAGGCGAGTTAGCGTAGCGAACGAGCTCCAACCTAAAGGCAAGTGAGCGCAGCGAACGAGCTCCAACCCAAAGGTGAGTGAGCGTAGCGAACGAACTTCAACCAGGACGTGATTGAGCGATGCGAACGAGATCATCTTGAAAATTAAACGTAACGGTACTTTCTTTCCATCGGTCTGTCTTAGGGGAAACCTATAACTTAGGCGATACGAAGTTCGCCGGGTCAGCTAGTATACATATATAAAAATTTGAACGAATAGTGTTTTTGGCCTCTGGGGACATCAAAATGAAAAAGTAAATCGGTCCCGGGTGTAGGTCTTACCGTGCCACCTACGGTAATAGCTACTTCCCTATAGGGAAATTCGCTAATAATATAATTCGCTGAATGAATATAGGTTTACACGTTTATACCAAATTTAATCAAAATTGGATCATTTTTGCTCGAGTTATCGTGCTAACGAACACATATATATATATATACTAGCTGACCCGGCGAACTTCGTATTGCCTAAGTTATAGGTTTCCCCTAAGACAGACCGATGGAAAGAAAGTACCGTTACGTTTAATTTTCAAGATGATCTCGTTCGCATCGCTCAATCACGTCCTGGTTGAAGTTCGTTCGCTACGCTCACTCACCTTTGGGTTGGAGCTCGTTCGCTACGCTCACTCACCTTTAGGTTGGAGCTCGTTCGCTGCGCTCACTTGCCTTCAGGTTAGCTCGTTCGCTACGCTAACTCGCCTCCAGGTTGAAGTTCGTTCGCTACGCTCACTCACCTTTTGGTTGCAAATTAGCTGTTGTCATATATGTAAAAGAAATAATAGTGCTGCACCCTGTTGGTAATCCTTGTAACTTTAATGCTATTGAACATCATAGAACAGAACCAACTTGTTTAATTGAAACAGCTGTTAAGATTCATTAATTCCATTTCTCATAAGGTTAACATGGGAAACTCCAGAGCCACTGGGGCGGAGCCATTTTAAGAATTTCGAAACGGGAAATAGTTTACGTCCGATTCGCATACCTACAGAATTTACACACCAAATTTCATAACGATCGGTGAAGTCGTTCCGGAGGAGTTTGCAGACAAACACTGTGACACGAGAATTTTATATATTAGATATATCTATATATATATATATACATATATAAAAATTTGAATGAATGGTGTTTTTGGCCTCTGGGGACATCAAAATGAAAAAGTAAATCGGTCCCGGGTCTAGGTCTTACCGTGCCACCTACGGTAATAGCTACTTCCCTATAGGGAAATTCGCTAAAATGGGATAGTGTAAAAGTAATTATTAATATAATTTAATATAATCATAATAGGCAATATTAAATGTTTAATGGTCATATTTGTGTAAACAAAAGTTAAAAAAATTTTCTATCTGATTATTGGTATTAGTAAACATTAAACAAGTTTCATAAATGAAAAAAATATAAACTATTAGTATTAGCACATTTGTTTATAAGAGCCCATCTATCTGTAACTTTTGATAACCTAAGATACTTAAAAAATACTCGGTTACTCGTTACTCGTATATAAGCTTTTAAAAATATTTCTTTAACAAATAAAATGTAAGGCATTTTTTACACTAAATACCATACTTAGTTTCTGAATTTCATAATCAAATAATGTTGGGGGCTTACCACAACAATTCTTAAATTTCTAAAAACTGCTGTTATGATGATACGTTAAACATAACTTAGCATGTTTTGATGTTTATTATCAATGTGTAACTGCTAATGTGAATTTTATGAAATAGTAAGTAAATTATACAATTATTCTTGTAGATAGACCCCTTGGCAAACTTCAGAAGAAGGGAATAACTTTTATAAAAATTGTAGAACCCCCACCACTACAAACCATAAAGTAGTTTATTACTTTCTTACTAAAGCTAATTAAGTAAAGAATTTCTCACTCCATAGAAACATGTGGTTACAAAATAGTTTGCCAGTGAATATACTGAATTTTCCTACTATAGTTCGGCCGCATAGAAAACGACCTGCGTGCTAATGCTAAACCAATGTTAGAGGAGGTCGCTTTCTAAGCGGCCGAACTATAACAATGTCCGTGGTAGGGGATTGAAATATTTCATTTGGCTAATTTCTAAATTTTCATTATGTAATGTAGTTTATAAGTCATGCACAAAAAATATCACTTATAAGTATATCAAGATTTAATATTATTGTCGTTTGTGAATTTCAAGTGATGTCGTTCTGACTTTTTTCTTTTTCTCGTTACCAGACCTGAGTGGTGGCGAGGGTGGTAGCAGTGAGCCGGAGATTGTATTCACCAAAACACCAAGCCCCGTATTGGCAAGACTGAGAGGGAAGGCTAGTTTCTGTGCTCGGTTACAGAGCCGACCCTTGTCTCATACTTCTTTCAGTTGGACGGTTAACGGCCGAAGTGTCAACAGCGACGACAGGTTTACGGTTAGTTGACTTGTATTTAAAAGTGTATAGTTTTATCGATCAATTATTTTTATTTAAATCACTTGCTTACCTGTGTAACCATAAATTTTCTAATGAAAATGATTTTAAAAATAATAGTTTATTAATAATTTTTAAATTATACCCCCCCCCCTGCAGGAGTAGTGCTGCCGACTAAGTGAATTTATTTTAGCCTGATTGTATTTTGCACTTAAACATCTCCTAAAAAATGCCAGATTTTATTCTCTATTAAATAACATTAGTTTAACAATTACTTTGGTTTTCTGCTACAGGGGAAGGTGATGAAATGTTTTTTTGTGTGAAATTTTGATAGTTTTGTATATGGAAGCTAAATATAAAGTTTTTAAATTTGTTTTAAATATGTTCATACATTTCAAAGCCAGGAAGGTTTGAATTGGATCTCGACTTGGACTTGAAAACACCTCTCATTCCAACTTAAACCTTTTTGGCTAAAAATGCTCTCAGTGAATATTGTTTTTTTTTTTTTTTTTTTTTTTTTTATCTCTCGTGCCAGAGTGGACTCCCTATTAACTTATTTTGACAGTCCGCATTTATTAATTTTAAAACTGTTTTTGTTTTGTTTACACCAGGTTACAACAGAGGATGACTGCAGTATGCTGCACGTAGGGGAGGTCCACACTTGTGACATGGGAGCTGTGACATGCACGGCCAGAGTGTGCTCTCCTGGAGTTCCTCCGACCACAGTGTCGTGCGACACCACGCTGGGGCTGGACCCGTCTCCAGGGGCCCCCGCTGAGCTGCTGCGGGGCCCCAGCGACACCACAGCCATGCGGGGCGACCGAGTGCTGCTCAAGGCGACGTACCGCGGTGATCCTGAACCTTCTGTGCGCTGGCTTAAGGCGGTAAGCAGACAGTGTTGTACATCCCAATATTTTTTAGCTTCTCTAATTAACTTTAAAAAAACGGTAACAGTTAATATTCATTTAATATCTATAGTGTTGTGACGTTGAAATCACTGAGTAATAAGTTTTTGATTTTTTATTCATAGTGCAAATTTAATAAAATCAATTGTTATTTTTACAACACTTGGGTAAGGAATTAAGAAAGAAAGGATAGCTATACAACTAACTAGTACCCATAAAAAGAGTCACAGATTTGAGAACACGCAAAAGTTGATTTTATTTGAACTCTTTTCTACTAACTTATTTTGACAGTCCGCATTTATTCACAACAAACATCACACAAACACATCACAACAAATTGGCTTGTTGGCAACATCACGATTAATTTGATCTTTGCCCTTTAAGAGGGTTTCTTCTAAAAGAAGTAGTAGAATGAATCGTCCTTTATTATGTTATTGCTGGGAACTTTCTTTCTTGGGTAGGCCTAAGTTAGTGTAGTGGGGAGCGAGCTGGTGTAGTGGTTAGAGTGTGGGACTTTAGTCCCTGAGGTCCCGGGTTTGATCCCCACCAAGTCACCAATGGATTTTATCTAAGTGATAATGCCGCAACGCCCGCAACCCCTAGGTCTAGCCTGAAGTAATGTGAAAAACAATCCCAGACTCGTGCATAGCGTCCTAGGAGAAAAAAAAAATTTTAAAGTTTTATAGTATCCATTCCATCTTCTTTAATTTTTTTCAGTTGAAGAAAATTATTTAAAACCAAAACATGATGTGTAATATGCAGCTACTTGTCAATGTTGCATATTTAGCAATGAGTTACATCCGAAACTGGTGTTGAACTCTTATATGTCCTTGGTAGATTTATATGAGGATTTAAAATTGATTGGCAGTAAACCCAAATCATTAATAATTTATCTTTATGGTAAATACATATTTGTTTTAAATTAGACTGTAGATGGATTACAAATTAACTTGTTCACTAACCTCCCTTTATGTTTGTGCCAGGGCCGAGAGCTGAGCTCCGAAGGTCGGGTGCAGATAACTTCAAGAGACGGGGTATCCTGTCTTACCATCTCCGCCATAGACGCAGATGACAGTGGCAAGTACGTCGTCAGCGTAGAGAACATTCATGGCGCAGACTGCCACTTCGCCTCTGTAGCCGTGGAGGGTGAGTGCATTCAGAACATCCCATCAGCATGGAGTGTGGTCATTAGTTAGAATGTGGGACTACAATCCTAGAGGATTTTATTGCATATATTATTCAATTGGATGAATTGGACATGAAGATGAAGTGTCAATATGATCTATAATTCATCCTCATTATTGCTGAATTCAGATTGACCAATACTTCTTGCAGAAACCAAATGATTTCTAGCTTAGCGGGTCTCCACTCCATAGATACATGACACCCAGTCATTTCTCAGTTAAATTTGCCCAGATTACAATAGATAATACGATGCCAACAGTTGTTTTGAATGAGTTATTTTAAGGCGAGGATAAGTAATGAGTTGATAGTTTTTTACTAACTACTACTAACGTAAGTTCTTCAGTAAGGACCTTTTATTAAAAGCATAATGATCTAGGATACCTAAGTCCTGTTTAGAAACATTTATTAAGAAACACTGTATTAAGAAACAAACTACTATTCATTTCTAGTTCTTATTCCTTCTGTGAATGAAAATCACTCATTTGTGGGAGGTTTCATTTAACCTAGCCTTTACTAAGTTAACCCAAAAATTAACTAAGTTCTCTTAGTCCTTTTGAAGTTATTTTATTTTAGCTATAAATTTACAATTTTAAACATGATAGCTTAGAAGATTTAATATATCAATATTATTTGTATAAATATTTATTTATTTGTTGACTGTCGTTATATTTTTCTAACAACACTTGTTCAAACAAATTGAGTAAGTATCAGACTGAATGCCAAAGTAGATTAAGGATCTCTTGAAAATTTTCAAAACAAATAAGTAGAATTATTGAGGGTGTTCACCATCCAACCAAACATCACTTTTAGACACATAATGCTTCGATGCTGATGCTTGTGACTGACCTAAGACTGCTGGAACTTTTTCGATACAGCAGTGTATTCGTGACAACTATTGTTGTTGGTAATAGCACTGGAACCTCTGAGTTCAGGCAGGGGTAAATACTCCAGTGTTACATTTCTGCTTGCATAGTTCCTTTGATGACTACTATAGTCAGATGCGATGCTATTCCTTTCAAAAGTGTAAGTTTTCATTCTTCAACAGCTGCTTCTTTGAAGCAGTTTCATACAACTACAGTATAGCCTTCCCCTCTAAACTTTCAAACTTAAATTAATGCTCTACATCTACACCAACCAATCAATAAGTTATTTGTAAATTATAAATTATTTGGTTTAAAGTTTTTGCTTGAACTTATGCAGGTATATATCACATACTTAACTAGGTTTATTTATTAAATTGTACTATACCTGCTTTGTAAGTAGGGTGAGAAACCCACCCTACACCAAGTGGGGTTTTTGTTATATTTATGGCGACTGACTTTAAGATTGGTATTGGGTATTGGTTTAACATTTACTTAGCATCTCCAAATAGCATTTCCTTGACTTTCGACATCAGACTATAAAGGATTTTTTTCATCAAATACATTTTTCCTAAGCATCAAACAAGACCATTTATCGATATGAATCGTTTTTGAATCGCTGAAAGTTCTTATTCTTGAGCTCAATTCACCTCAACACAAAAATTCACTATCTATTCCAAAATCAAAAAAAATAAGATAGCCTACCTAAATAAAAAGGTAAAACAAAGGAACTTATCAAATTGATGACCAGCAACTCCCATTCTACAGTGAAGTATCTTTAAACGTTAGCAATCGTTCAGACTGTTGATTTTAATAGGTCCAGGATCTTTTATTCAATGAAAGAATCTAATTTGTTTTCTGGTTGCTTCTAACAAAAATTGCTTTCTTCCCCTCAAGTCTTCCACTATCCTGGACAAATATTCTTGTCTTTTGGCAAAGTTTATACTCGGGACAGTCATTAGTAAGTCCTTATGTTAGGTAGTTATGGTTTCTGAGATTGTGATTATCAGCAGTATGATGCTGCTGGCCAATCATGGATGAGATGGGTGATTGCATTGTTGATGCTGTAGAAAGTCTGGTAAATGGTTGTCCCTTTTCTACCATACTTTCTGAAAAGTTTTTCCACCAACTCACTCATATGGGCAAATAAAAATCCACGGAGAAAGCTTGCAGATAGTTGAAAAACAGCTTAGAGGGGTTGTTTTCGTGACCCTTAAGAAAATTGCTATGGTATTGCTGTTGCAAATGCCTTATTTTCATACATCCTTGAACAGTTTGTTGCTGCCTGATAATAGAGCTAGTTTTGTTATAAGACTTCTATTACACATCATGGCTGTATTTGCAGTTCAAAAATGAAATTTATGGCTTGAGTTGGTATCCAAAGAAACCCAAAATATATAATTAATTTTAGGGATGGACGGGATTGAATTTTTAGTTCGGGACGGGACGGGACGGGATTTTTATTTCCTTCCCAATTTTCGGGACGGGACGGGACGGGATTTTTTTCTGTGCATAAAAAGAAAGTACTGTATTGCAGTTACCAAAAAAAGACATACGAAATCAATTTTTACCATTTGTGGCACTGATCTATAAAAACCAAAAAATGGGTAACAATTTACAGGTACCTATAGTAACTTGTGACTCGCGGGTCACGGGGTGATCGTCTGTATGACTCACGGTCACGGCGAGATCGTCGTCATGACTCGCGATCACGGCGCGATCGTCGGTATGACTCGCGGTCACGACGCGATCGTCGTCATGACTCGCGGTCACGGCGCGATCGTCGGTAGGACTCCGCGGTCACGGCGCGATCGTCGGTATGACTCCGCGGTCACGGGGTTATCGTCGGTATGACTCGCGGTCACGGCATGATCGTCGGTATGCGAACACGGCTCGATCGTCAGCATGACTCCGCGGTCACGGCGCTTTCGTCGCCATGACTCGCGGTCACGGCGCGATCGTCGGTATGACTCGCGGTCACAGCGCTATCGTCGGTATGACTCGCGGTCACGGCGCGAACTTAGGTATGACTCCGCGGTCACGGGGTTATCGTCGGTATGACTCGCGGTCACGGCGCGATCGTCGGTATGACTCCGCGGTCACGGGGTTATCGTCGGTATGACTCGCGGTCACGGCATGATCGTCGGTATGACTCGCGAACACGGCTCGATCGTCAGCATGACTCCGCGGTCACGGCGCTTTCGTCGCCATGACTCGCGGTCACGGCGCGATCGTCGGTATGACTCGCGGTCACAGCGCTATCGTCGGTATGACTCGCGGTCACGGCGCGAACGTCGGTATGACTCCGCGGTCACGGGGTTATCGTCGGTATGACTCGCGGTCACGGCGCGATCGTCGGTATGACTCGCGATCACGGCTCGATCGTCAGTATGACTCCGCGGTCACGGCGCGATCATCGTCATGACTCGCGGTCACGGCATGATCGTCGGTATGACTTGCGGTCACGGCGCGATCGTCGGTATGACTCGCGATCACGGCTCGATCGTCAGCATGACTCCGCGGTCACGGCGCGATCTCATGACTCGCGGTCACGGCGCGATCGTCGGTATGACTTCGTCTCCTGCGTTCGCGGACCTACCGCTCGCAATAACGGCGTTATCGGCACTCGCGAAGCGGAAAAATCGCCGACGATCGGACCAAATCCCGTCCCGAAAAATTCCCGAGTCAAATGTAATCCCGTCCCGATAATCGGGAATATTTTTTTCCCGAAAAATTCCCGAAATTTCGGGACCCGTCCATCCCTAATTAATTTTGTATCATGCTAGATTTTGAATTAGCTTCTAGTCTAAAGAAAGCCACTTCTGAGTTTAGGGCCTTTAAATTAACCAAACCATATTTGATTTACTAGTTTAGATAGCTAGTGTAAAAAGATGATACATGGAATATTCTGCATTTTCCATTTTAGCATAGTTTATTCTTTTTGGAATATTAATAATCTAATACACCATATGATTTAATATTTCTGGCTGGTTTATGCTCTGTTATATATGACCTATTTTCTTTTTGTTTTCGTTGGATATTTAGATTTTTTGCTAGGAAAATATAAAACTCCATCAGAAGCTAAGCATTTTCTTGCTTAAATCTTTTGTTAAATATTATTGCTTGGACATTGAGTTTTCAATTTACCAAATTTCAATTTACCAAACATTCTATTGATCACTGTCCTATGATTATAAAGAAGATTTTTATACTACCAAAATTTAAAGATAACTCTCTTTCAAAAAATTAAAAATACCTTTATTTAAAATATCCCAGAAAAAATGAAAACGTGGTTTCACTCAAGTAAATCATATTTTGTTAGTCAAACAATCTCAATGCAAATCAGACAACAATATTATATCTTTCAAGGTGCTATATTTTTTCACTGACATACATGTATTTCCATGACACTTCTTAATCCCCTTTATGCTAATGTGTATTACAAACATCAAAATGCTGCCATCAGATATTTTTATCCCCACTGCAGTAAATGTTGTCTAGCCTCCATGCCCATGTAGCATCTTGGTCAGGTCTAGGAATGTGGCTGGAGAAGCAGAGATAGTCAAATGATAAGTCCCCCTCTACCCCCCCCCCCCCTACTTTGTCGGAACACCTGTCTAGTGTCTAGGATGATCACTGGCTCTCTTCTCCAACCAGTCAGTCACTAGTCAGTGATCAGTGAGTCTGTGAGTGAGCTCGAGTGTCATACATTGTTCAGTGAACTGTTGTAGCTTGTGCTTGAAACAGTAATGTGTTAGTCTGTGTAATTTATTTTTTGGATAATTTAACATGGGACCTCAACTTCGTTATATAGGTATTAAAGTGCAATATTCATTAATAAATTTTTAATTCCATTTTGTTTTAAGCAAATTTATCACAAATAATTCTAATACAATGTCTCACTAGTTGTAGATTAAAATTATGTTATTCAACTATTCTTTTTTTCTTTAGTTCAGTGAAAATTTACTTTAGTGTGTATATAATGGTTTGTGATAAGTATTGTATTGTTTCATGATACCGGGTACTCATATTTTTCCTTATTAATTTTTTCAAAAAAGTATTTTGTTTATATTTTTCAATGTAAAAAATATGTTACAAGAA